TCACTGCATGAGCTAACACATATATACACACACACACACCCATGCACATTTCCAGTGAAAGAGGGCTTCTGAGCATTCTCTAGGAGGTGGCATTTAAGTGTGGCCACTGGGGCGCAGAGCATCTATCATTAAAATAAAGTACGGGCTGAAATCAACTGTGTTCTCCTTCAGCAGCACTCAGCCCTCCTCTTCACCGTGTCCTTCCCTCACACTGTCCAGACCTCACTCGGACGAACAATAATCAGCAATGAGCCAATAAGTTACTCCTTTTCAACAATTCAGAGTATAAAGGTTTGTGTGTGCAGTGTTTTCTGTCGCCTGCTTAAGGTTGAAACAGCTGCCTTTGACTTGAGGCTAAGCCGAGCTGCAGTAAATTGGATTTCATGCTCAGTCCTTCACAGTAGCAGTATGCGACACTAAGACAGACCCCCCCACCCAAAGTTAATACTCTGTTTCTTCAAAAGTTTACATTACATTTACACCACATGTATGAGAGATGATGTAAAAAAAAATAATAATTTAAAGCATTTATACAGCTGTTCTTGTAGGTGGTTATTTTGTTATGTCACTTATTCCAAAAATGTGGGGGCTCAGCATTCCTGCCACAGAACAGCAAACAGAAGTCATAAAGCATTTAAAAAGATGGCAATCATTGACTTGGAAATTGTCATCTGTCAAATAATCTTGGATCAACTGTTTTTCACATTGTGTTGCAGAAAAGGGTAAACAACAGAGTGGATCCAGTGGTTTTTCGGGGTAGCACTGCAGTGTTGTCCCTTGTTGCTGCAGTGAAATTGGAGGGGGGTCAGGGGGTAGGCATGCTTATCTGCCACTGAGGCTTAATTCAGAGTCTTCTGTGTAGAGAAGCCCATGCAGATGCAGATGTGGGGCAGCTGTCATCGAATGCCAAGCTTGTCCTCTTCAGTGTGGGTCTGAAAGTCAAGATGCTTTTTTGACCATTTATTTCCCTTTCTTTTTTGATAGAAAGCTGCAGAGCTTCTTCGATTCAGTCTTCATTCTGTCACCCATTCTCCTGGTCCCATCATGGAGCACTAAGATGGAGAAGGGGACCGAATACAGAGAGGCTCCAGCTGCGTCACTGACATTGACATTACCTCTGAGATCATTAAACCTAAATTGGCTAAATGAATTGCCAATTTGAGAGGCCTTAGTCACAGCATATTGGTGTCGGCACGCCAATGTGTGCACACACTGAGACGACTAGATCCTGTCTCTAGATGTCTGTTTTTCTTTTGTCCCTTTAGCCTGTATCTCTTCATTGCTGTCCAACTACCTTTCCCTCCACATTTCATGCAAAAATTCAATAAGCTATTACACAGGCATTGATCTTTTTCTCACCCAAACATTTGCATTAGAAAAAAGGGCAGTGTGATGAGGGGCTGGGTGAGAGAGCGCTGTCTGTGCATTTTAGTGGGGAGAAAAAGCAATAGACAGAGCGACCTAGATTTATAGAGTTTGGCAGCACTTTAACACTTTAACGCTCCTCAGAATGTGTCCAATCAATGCGCTCCCTCCCTGCGTGGCTGCTGTCGAAGAGAAGTGGCGTTCACTTATCTGATGTCATTGTAAATCACTCAGGAGGAGGGTTAGCTCATAAGATGCTGCTGCTACACTTACACCACATCCAGCTGCTGTGGAATGGTGCAGAATATCACCCAACCACTAAATCCATCACTCTGTTATTGTCTCCACAGTAAGCCCAGACTTATAAGAAACAGGACTTGCTCTGACCTTTAAATCTGTGTGGCGTAAAATGAGATGCAGACGAGGATGCGAATCAGGAATACGCTTCACTAATCAATGAGGAAACACAATGATGATACCACTGAGCCAATCCATAAAGCTTAAGCGATAATTTCCCTCTATGTGCTTTAAGAACCACGTTTAATTACCTCAAAGACATTTTTCCACCTTGTATTTCAGATTGTGAAATAATAAGGATAAAAGTAGTAATCTTCTGTATTTTATATTAATGAAGTATATTAATGAACCACATACAACTATCTAATTCCTCTGTGCCATTGAGGTCAATAAATGATTTTAAAATACGTAAGTAAGAAACACTTGGTCTGGATGTTGTGTTCCTCTCCTTGCGTGAACATGGACAGTACAGTCTGAGTTTTGAGCGTAGACTTGATAAATATTGCATGTAGCAACTATGGCATCAACCATTAGTGTGTTGATGCCCCTTTTTGAAGCCTCCACTTTGGCATTTTGGCTGCCCCCATGTTGGTTCTCTGGAGCTTAAAGTGACCATATTTTTCAACACAAGCACTGGAGAGGAGAGAGGTGCAAATACCAAGTTACAAAAGCTTAACAGTATGTGGCTCATTCATTAGCTGTTTGTATGAGCTAGTCAATCTTTGTGTTTCCCACAGAATGGGATGTTGTTTGTAGTGGAAACAGAACAGGATTGTCACAGCAACTACCAAAGATAATTATGCATACGTTTGACGTCAATATAATTCGACCTCAAAAAGGTTGATATAGAAAGAGAGAGGAACTATAGAGACCAAACAGTGTTTTTGTTAACCAAACAGACTAAACATGCAAATGCTGCTGCAGTTCTGTATTTTAATATTGTCACACTGAACCAGCCATTGTGGCTAAAAATGTTTTACTTTCAGTTCTCATAATCCATGCTGTCACTCTCGACTCTACCAGAGATATTTTTTGCTTTAAATGTTGATTTTAGCACGGCTTTTGGTCAGAAACCAGAGGTTTTATGACTGTTTTACGAACCAGGTTTTTTATGAGAGAAACACCTGCGCTGCAATGCGTGCCCAAGTTTATTTAGCGCACTCTCGGCGTGACAGCAGTGAAGCTGTCAGCTGCCCTTTCAGCTGTGACACACACAGGTGCTTTAGGATGATTGCAGCAGTTATTACAAATTGACCTCAAAATAATTACAGACAAAACATCAGTAAGCCAGGACAATGGTCTCTAGTTGAGAATAATGTTACTGTTTTTTTAAGGCAGTATTTTAACTGGCCTGAGCGGGCCAGTGGAACATGCAATCAGCTGGCCCGGACTCTGTTATTCATGCGTCGGGGCCAGCGAGCCATTTATAATGTTGTCCAGCCCTACAACATATTTGGGTTAGGTCTGTCCCTTTGATTTAATGTCTTCAAATCGTTTATCATTATTTAAGGCCAGTGCCAGATTGCTTTTCCTTTATTTTTTTTAACCAAAGCTCAGCTCTCATTTACAATTGATCGCACTTTTGCCTTCATTATATCTGGTGTTGAGCATGTGTGTATCAACTAAGACTAAGATGTGTTATTATGGCTCTTTCTTCGTGCCACACAAACTTTGCTGTGGTTGCATTGGAGAGGTGATAATGGCGTCCATGTGAGCTGTGGCGTTCATGGCATGTCTGTAAGACATTTAAAGCATGACCTGCACATTATATCAAATTTCCCTCCTACCTCCCCTTTATTATGCAGCATACTGTATGCAAAATTAGCCAGACAAAAATGACAATAGCTACAGCTGAGCTTCAGCTGTCACAGCCTCACAAGGACTGACGCAGCCTGAAGAGGAATGCTAGAAGGAGTGACTTTCCCCTCCATCTATTTCTGATCCTGACAGCACATTCTTTTTGTCTCCCCTGCAGTCAGTGGAAGAAGAATCCTTTCTGTTACCAAAATAGCTTCTTCTCTCCCTCATTTGCACAAGTGACCAGTTTTCTTTACAAATGTAACAAATTGGTAAGTAGTCACCACAAAGCAGCGGCAAAAAAGGATGATGATTGCGTATAATCTCAGAGGAAGATTATTCAAATTCTCTCTGCGTAGCCAGATAGGGCCCCAAGCAGCCTGCTGGTGTACGCTACAGAAAAGAATAAGGGGAGAAAGAAAAGAGGATGAGAAGAGGCATGAACAAAACAGCTGGGAGGACTGGTACGGGGAGAAGTAGACTTGGGCGACAGTGGCAGGCAGACAGAATAAGGGACCATAAAATGGGGATAGAAAACTGCTTGGTGAGAGAGAGAGACAGAGGGAGAAATGGAGAAAAGGCTGATATCTGTGGCACCCCAGCTGCGAGGCTTAAGGAGCTTAGCCCTCCTGCCCATCACAGAAGACTCCTCAAGTGCAGGCATTCAGTGCTGCTGAGCTACGACTGAGAAAAAAAAAAGTGAGCAAGAAAGGCAGAGATGTGTGTTGGGCTCAGTATAAGGGAAAACTAAGCAGAAGATGAGGGTTTAGATTTTGAAACAGGGGATAGAACTCATCTTAAATCAGGTTCAGTTTAGTGTTTAGTGAAGCTTCATTTTGGGGAATACTCTGAGAACATTTGTTTTGTTGCAAAGAGTTTGATGAAAAGATCAATAACCAATCAAATGTCTGCACCATAATAATGAAGCTGCAACAAGCAGTTTGGTCTCAGACATATGTGGAAAGATAACATTCTCTTAACACTGCACGGTGTAGGGGTGGCACATTGTGTATGAAGATTTAACAGCCTGCATCACAGAAAGAATGACGATGGAAAGTCAACTAGCATCTCCTTTTGTAGTGGACACACAACTCCTCCAGAAAGTCAGTTGAGGCCGTGTAAGGAGTGAAAAAGTTTGCTTGGGGTAGTGAGCCGAAGTGTTGATGGCTCGTGATAAGAAGTCGCAGTCATTTCAAGAATTTATAAAAGGAAGGATGAGCCCTTACTAATTCACTTAGTTAGAGTAACCTTCTCAAAAAAAACAACAACAAAACACAACACATTGTGGTTATGTCATGGACTCCAGTACTGAGTTGCTCCAGCTACATGTAAGTTCGAACCTAGCCTAGCTGGAAGCCTCATACTGACATCATAACAACATTGATCGTTTTATCTCACTTTTGGTGTACGTTGATTTCCAAAAATATTTTGTAAAATATACATTAAAATTTCTGAATAGACTTTTTCATCTGTTAACTGACAAACCATGTACAATGTCTTCATTTTGTGAGAATCTTATTTATCCTCCTCATCTTCCACAGGAAGTGTAAACCGACCGGGGCCGGTCCCTGCCTTCCTCAGGAGTCCCACTGTCATCCCATCCCCACTGGACATGAAGCACTTCCTCCAGTTCCCCCTGGAGTCGCCTCACTCGGCCGGCATCAGCCTCTTCCACAACTTTAACACAGTGAGTGCTTACCTGCTATATGAACAAAGCGTGTGCACATTTTCTTATCCTCTTGTTTCACACAATCGAAGACAGAGATGAGATTCAGTCGTCATTCCGGAGCATTGCCTTCTGAACGAAGACAAGGGATGAAGTGTTTAGGATTTGTACCTTTATAAGCCAAAATGATAGGGTCACAGCTGTTTACTTTTTATTCAGCAGAGTGAGTTTCAGCATAATTAAGGAAATGCCTGGTGGAGTGTTTTACTGCATTAAAATGAGTAACAGCTAATCAACTGTATAAGAGGCACAGGCTGTGTTCTCTACAGTCAGCATTTTCTATGGCTCCTTCTCATTTCCAGATTGGGTTTCATGTGAAGGTCAGTGTGGCGACAAGCAGAGATTCACATGCATCTCACACACACACACACACACACACACACACACACACACACACACACACACACACACACACACACACACACACACACACACACACACACACACACACACACACACACCTTATAGTCATGCACTCAGGCAAAATGATCTGTCCGCAGGTTAGTGATTCATCCTGCTTCAGTGAGGACATTGAGTGTGGCCACTAACACCAGAACATTGTGGGTTGGCCAGAATGCACTGACAGGAAACAGAGAAAGGGAAATAGACAAATACATCTGCTTATTTTGTTTATACCGTTGAGTGTTCCTGCTTGGGACAAAACTTTTAGTGGGGTTGTGGGAGTTATCCAGAGAACCCAAATCAGGTCTGTCCCACCAGGATTACAGGTAGTTTCCGGCAATTAGGATTCTAAGGAGTATACAGCAGTCCTCACCTTTGTGAATAGAGACATGAGCTGCACACTGAGTCCTGTGCAGAGGGAGACAATGAGCCTGTCACTCTGAGGATTTGTAACAATCCAGAGGAAAATATTTTTTCAGTTGGTCAAATTATTAAAGTAAATGTCATTACTCTTTGCGTATATTTCAGAAAGTGATTGTACTCCTAAGTAGAATTCCTAAGATTGAATTATATTAAATAACATTTGATATCTTTAAAGGTTTTCCTTTTCGAAAAAAAAATCAACTTAACTGGAATCTGTAAATGTGTCTCAGCCAGAGTAGGACTGGTGTCTCAGTTCCTCTCTAACCCGGTTAACAGCCTGAGGAGATTAGAACAATGTGCAGGGCAACATGGCTAAAATGATCATCACTTAATTTGCTTTGCATTGTTCCAGACGGCTTTCACTTGCATTTCATGTGTCTTGAGTATTTTTTTTCCGCTTTCCTTTAAATAACAAAGCCTGGATTACAAGATAAAAGATTAAACCTCTGATGTTATATTTGTAATCTTGTATTTGTTTTTGTTTTTTTTGAGGCAGCTTTGACAGTGAAAGCCCAAGAAGGTTGAACTCATTTCATAGTCGACTTTTTAGGTGTTACCAAATCAACCAAGACTGAAAAATTGGAGATTATCACTTCAAAATGGTTAAATACATGCAATACTAAGGAATGGTTAAAGACTTTAAAGTCTATTTTAAATTCCAGCTTTTCTCTACCTTTCATTTTGGTTGACAGGTCACCACCCCAAAGAAAGGCACTCACTTTAATCATAGAATTCACATCATTGCTGTGCGATCGTATTTATTTTACCAAAACATGAATGTCTTTACCGCGTTTCACTGTCCTGTGCAGCCAATTAAGACATTTCTGGAATGGCGGTACGGTTTACAATTATCATTGTGTTGGCAGTCTACATCCAGCGTGAAATTTTGCTTAAGCTAACCCTTTGTTGACGTCATTTTCAGACGCAGACCCAGCGCTCTGATGTTAGATTACAAGATAAACAAACAGGGACGTCCATCACATAGAGAGAACTGTATAACTGTTGTAATCTAATTTCTTTTCATGTACACTTTTTTTTTAAATAAAAATAAATAGCACATTTAGGTGATTCAATTCAGCCAATGATGCAGCACGCATTAAGCTTTCACCTTATTACACTTCCTCTCAGCCAGAGATTACCTTTCAAGTTTTTGTTAGTTTGGCATCAGCAGGATGTAAACTGAAGTCAACATGACAACGATAGAATCCAATAAGGTATGGGGGTGGGGGGTTTGTTTTTGGTAGCACTTTTGGAAAAAGTAATTTGAAGGTGTTGCAGGTCCTCAGATGAAAATCACAAAACCACAGAGGTCAATTGGAGACATGGGCAGCAGTAGCTTAGTCTGTAGGGATTTGGGCTGGGAACCGAAGGGTCACAGGTTCAAGTCGCAGTGCGGACCAAATCTGGAAGTTGGTCTGGTAGCTGGAGAGGTACCTGAGCACTGCAGAGGTGCCCTTGAGCAAGGCACTGACTCCCCACCCCCACTACCATCAGCTCAACAGAGCCCACTGTGCAGCTCCCTCACTCTGGCATCTCTTCATTAGTGCATGTCCATAGGATCCTGTTTGTGCATGTGTGTATTTCAACATATGTGTGTGTTGCATGACTTACAAAGTGTAAAAGCAGAAATTTCCCCTTGAGGAGATCAATAAAGTAGATCTTAATCTTAATCTAAATAAGAAAGAAGGGCAGAAAAAGCAGTCTATAAATATGTCTAACATTGAATTCAGACAGGGTTTAGGTTTTCAGACCAATTAAACAATTTCCCTCTGGTGCTTGACAGTGTAAACAGTCTCTCTTTTGGCAGCGTACATTTACGCTCTGAGCAGGAGATGAGAGGCTGAGTATAACCGCGGTGTGGTTTTTTTTTTTTTGCTACTTATTAAGGACAACCCCGAGAACAGCGGTTCTTGAACCCCGCTAGTTCAGAAAGCTCACGAGTCCATTTGAGTCATTTCAAAACGAGTTACGAAACATTTCACGAGAGGACACAATAAAGCTTGGTTGGTATTTTTCAGAATTCAATTTGACATTTTATTAAGATTTTGCACATAAATTATTTCTCCATTTATTTCCTCATGTTTTGACAAATTACAAATTACAATCGGGCAGCAGTAGCTCAGTCTGTAGGGACTTGGGTTAGGAATCAGAGGGTTCAAGTCCCAGCACAGACCAAGTCCAGAAATTGGCCTGGTAGCTGGAGAGGTGCCAGTCCACTTCCTGAGCACTGCTGAGGTGCCTTTGAGCAAGGCACCAAACCCCCCACCAGCTCAGGAGCACCCACTGCGGGCAGCCCCCTCACTCTGAAACCTTTCCATTAGTGCATGTCCATAGGATCCTGTTTGTGCATGTGTGTGTATTTCAGCCTATGTTTGTGTAGCATGTTTACTAGACAGAGTGTAAAAACAAATTTCCCCTCGTGGGATCAATAAAGTATACATTATTAAATTATCCTTATTCTTTTTCATAAAATGTTGTTATCCTATTGTGCAAGTCATCACATAAGACAAACACTGGGGTGCATATTTCTAATGAGAATGATTTTACTTTTGTTTAGATAAAATAATTCACCTATTCACCTATTTTTCATTGTACATTAAATTAACTTAAATATAAATATAATCCTCCATCCTTCTGTGTTATGTTTGACTAATTTTACTGTATTTGAATTTAAATATCTTTATGAATTATAATAACTCTGTGTTGTATTTATCACCTATGTTAAAAGACTTTCCTTCTAGCCAAATTGGGATGTTTTTCTTGCAACAAGCAACTACTTGTCCCACAGCAATCAGTTGAATTCTATCTATACCTTTTTTCTCTCATTAATGTGCACATGACTGCAAACCTGTAATGTTTGAAGTATTTCTCTGCTATGGTGAAAAGCAGAGATTTTGTAGCACACGAACAAAGTAGATATTTTTTCAGACAGGGAGTCTGTAATTAGGCCCTTCCAACCCCAGCATGAATTAAAGTGTTTGAACGGCACCCAAGAACTCAGGCGCAGACAGCAGCACCAGCTGCTACGGAGAAAACACACCCCCCATGTCCACATCAATCAATGTTCCCTCTTTAATTCACTCTTTCCCATTCTTTTTATCTTTAAAGAAAGACAAAAATGCCGTTCACCTGCACTGTGGTTAGGTGAAACAGTGACACTTCCCTCTGAACTCTTCCTGTATTGCTGAACCGTTGATATGAACTCTGGACTGTCTCTCTCCTCAGATGGACCCTGTCCAGAAGGCTGTCATGACGCACACGTTTGGGCCACCTCTGGTGAAGACAAAGCGGCCAATCATTTCCTGCAATGTCTGTCAGATACGTTTCAACTCAGAGGTATGACACCTTGAATCAAGATTCAAGATTTTATTTGACACATGCATATATGCATCTGATACATATATGCATAAAATATATATAAAAAATGAGTAAAGCGAGATGCGTGTGTGTGTGTGTGTGTGTGTGTGTGTGTGTGCATCTTGTATGTGTTCCAGTTCCAGTGTGTTATGTTGATGAGGTGCTACAGTATGTTTTGACCAGAGGAGGGCAGAGTTAACAGTCCTCTTCCCGTGTCTCTCTGGTTGTGTCAAGTTATATGTTCTGCCTTTATTAGATAGTTTTGGAAAGAGACAGGAAAGGTTGGGAGGAGAGCGGGGGTTGACATGCAGCAATCCCACGGTCCTTGTAAAGATGAACTATAGCCTCTGTACATGAGGGCACGACATAACTGGTAGGCTAGCCAAACCCCCACGGTCTGGATTTTTCACTATGCCAAAGAAATGTGCATGTGACAGTAGTGAGTAGTGATACCTGGCATTTTAACAACAGTTGGTCCTGGAACAGCTACGACTGTTTTGAGGGGAACAACACTCACTAACCCCTTGCACACATTTCCTTATAAAAAATAATTACATTTTTATTTTTTTAAATGCTCTAGGTAAATTTGCTAGATTGCTATTTGAAAGTTGCTAAATAGATTTATGCCAAATATATAAGGCTTTTTCCCCTTTCCTAATTTTATCCAATTTGTTTTATTATGTACCCACTGTGAAATGCTCATCCATTAACTGAAATCACTTCACTGTGATTCAAATTTACAGTTTTATACCTTAGTGCCCACTATGCCATGTCACTTCAAGGTGTCATTTAGGGTCAGAAATGAACAACTGCAAAGCACCAAATGTGGGAGGATTTTGTGTTTGGCAAGTACATTTCAGAGGGCTATCCACCACACGGCAGGTAAATGTTTGTACAATAATAGTATTTTATAAAAAATAAGATGAGCTTTCAGCGAGTTGCTGTAGCTGTAGCCTCTCTCTCCTGCTCCTCTGCTGTCAACATGTCTGAGCGTCCGAAGCGTGCTGACACACACACACACACACACACACACACACACACACACACACACAGAGGAATGCCAGCCGCCACGTGCACCTGTTTACTTCTAGTGCAACGGAACACAGTCTGTGATCTACTCGAACAGCCTTTATGGCTGTGAACACGTGATCCGGTCAAACTTGTTTTTGTAGATTAAAGCAAATGTATTACTCGCAGGTGGATTTTAATTAAGAGTTTGTAAAGTTGTAAGATGGTAGCAGGGGTGGCCTGGGTACTACTACCGTTTAAAAAAAATAATCTACATTTTTTAAATCTACCTGCCATCTTGGCCAGTTAGTCAAAAAGTTATTTTTGGACCCCAGTGTTGTACATAAAGCTGGAGGTAGTTTCATTAAAAAAAATTAATAAGGAGCTGTTTTTCTATCAACACTATCAGGATCAACTGCATGCGTGCCATTAAAACCAAAAAAATCAACAGAAGTTGTAACTAATGATAGATTTACTAACTGAGGTGGAGCACAAAGAAAAGTCCAACATTCATAGAGAACACTAGAAAAGAAATCATGACCCAAACAGTTGGCTGGCCTCAGAGTTCATTGGTGATTGAATGTACAGCTGTGCAGGTGAGATCTTGCTTCACAGTTTCTCAGCTCCATTTTTAGCCCACCAAGGAAGGAGAGAAGGGGAAAGAGGGCAGAGAAAAACCCTGTTTGCATATTTAATAACGTGACGGTCCAGTATTATTTTCTATGCCCCTTCAAAGTATCAAAGTCAGCGAATATCAGAAAACAGAAAGACAGCAAGAATTTTATTAAACATTTTTTTTAATCATTGTTTTGTTCAAGACTACAGATACTTAGGTTTTTATCGATGAGTGTGAAACATGTAAGGGTTAAACACAGCTAACATGAGCTTGCCCCTTACAGCTGATTATGCACATTTTCTGCATTTCACTGTTGACAGACGGTGCTACTCCAACATGGATCAGAGGGACTGAAATAAAAGAGGCCAGAAGTGATGAAACTCTAGAGGAATGATTTGAGTGCCCGCATTAAAGAGGCAGTAGTGTTAACTAAGGCTGGAAAGTAAATAACTCATAATGTGGACATCTAAAACCAAGCTCCTTGATGACATGATTGATGTGTTAAGGGTCTGGTACTAGGCTTTTTACAGTGTGTGTTTTTGAAAGCATGTGTGTGGTTAAATTTCTTTAAGGTCTGTCTCTCTTTGGGGAGCACATTGCCTGGTTGACCATCAGATGGATGACACACAATTATGGTCAATCTGTTGGTTCGTTCCTGTTACAAAAAAGAAATATCCTTAGCCACATGACTGGGCATCTTGATCACATTTGAGTGATGTGTATTTATCCATTTTGAATAGCCTTTTTTGACAAAAAGTAATGATACATATGACTAAGACTGTAACCTCTGACATATACATGAGTAGAAATCCAACAAAAGTCTGACATTCAAGCGAAGCTAAAAATATAAGTGCATTCCCGTGAAAGAGTGCTTAATACTTCCACTCTAAATGCAGTCGTGTGTAAAGGACACAGGCAGGGAGGGAGACATCTGAAACTCATGTAACACTGCCCTGTTCTCTCTGTGAGGGGCCACTTAATTATATCTCCCTCACCCACTGCACCTATTTACTCCAGTAAGTTCCCATGTGCATCATAACATAGTGTAGATATGTATGTACATGTATGAAAACGTCAGGTTATGTTACTGTGTTTAAATAGTAGTAAGACTGCTACGCAGTCAGATCTCTAATCCGGAGCTATCTGTTTGTCCTGCCTGCTGTTTTACTTTGAGTCACACTGCGAATCTGCTCTGCCGCAGCTCTATAGCTTTGTCCACAGTAACCTGATCAACTGGGAGCTTAAATCACGCTGGACATTCTTTAATAATGAAAGAATACTCTGCTTACAGGACATAACTTGGCTTACTTTAGCTGTCTGAACTGCAACACAGGTCCAAAGAAGACAGTCATTCTTTTTCATTAAAGCCTGACAGATGTATTGGGTATTAGCGTATATTTGACAAATATGCTACTGATATTAATACTTTTTTTTAACACATACAATGCAGAAAAAGGGCCTAAGCTAGTTTAAATTGATGTCATGAAGACGACGACCATCAGACGCAGGTTTTAATTACATTGTTTACAATACTCAACACTGCAGCAGATGTAGTGGGGAATCACAGCTCATTAAACAGCATCACAGTTGATAGCTGATATTTGATAAAAAAGGTCACTTGTTCTTCACTATAGCTGTTTGAGGAAGCAACCTTCTGCTTATCCTTGCATATTCATATTTGTGCACAATCCTCAAAGGTCTTTTCCATTCCCAGGTCTATTCCATTCATCTTTTATAACTTCATAAGTATCTTATTAATATACCAACTTACGTGTTCCTGTTTTTGTCTGGGGGAGGCTGGTGTTACATGTGAGTTCCTGAGTAATACTCAAATACAGAGGTTTATAGAAAAAAATGGTTTTGGGGTTTAGTTACTGTTTAAGCAACATGACACACTGTTTGGTAGTGGGCCTTCAGGTAGGTGTTTCACACTGCTACTACTCTGTAGCAACACTTGTTGTAATTGTAACATTGCATTTCATTCAGACCACAGAGGACTGATTAGCCTGCCAGCCTTTAGCTTGGCTTTGCTGCAAGGCTGACGTCACACCATGCTGCATTAGCCATCATCACCACTGCAGCACTGTGTTCTTCTCTTTTTCTCTTTTTGTTTTTCACACCAAACCTCTGTTCACTTATATCTCCTATCTGCTCAGCACGTCAGTTTGCTAACCGATTTCCTTGTCAGTATTCATGTTTCTTCATGCTTCTCCCTCTGCAGGGTGCACTGTATCATCTATCCCCCTCTCCTTCTCTCCAGCTTCTTCCCACCCCCTCTTCCTGTCGCCGCTGCCAGTACCCTGTACAGTAGATTTGGCTGCTAGACCCGCTCTCTCTCTGCTTTCTGTGCCTTTGTCGCTTTATAGATAAAACATCAAAGCACATCCTGCTTAGAGAGAAAGGGGATTTCAGGGACTTTCACTTGCTCTCATTTTCTCCCTCTTTAATCCCATCTCTGCTTCTTCATTCATCTTAATCCCCCTTTTCCATAGGCTCTCTTGTCGCCTCTCTCAGTCCATTTCACTTTCTAAACAGGACATCATTTATTTATATTATCATTATTCGCTTCTCAACACCAAAGATCTGATACCATGATCTATTTTACACCCTATTGTCCTCTGCATCTCACCCCCACCTTCGAGGCTGTCAATTCTTTTTATACTTGATGTCACAACTTAATCAGTTTCTTAAGGCCTGACACTGAAGGTCACAAGGAGAGTGGAAGTGACAGAGATTAAGAAAAAGTAAAACAAATCAAGAAAGGGGAAGAAAAATAAGGATGACTGTGTTAAGTGCAAAAAGAAGAAGAGGAATGAAGTATTTTTGCCTTTCAGAAAGGTTAAGGTCTTCCTCTCCTTGTCAGATTGCAGGGGTCTCAGTAGCAGCAGTCAGTGGAGTTGTGTTACACTGGCAGAGCTATATCTGCTTTTCTGTCAACACCAATCAGGATGGGGGCTATATGGGTAGCTATCATGGGCAGCTAATGCCTAGGGCTTACACAGGCTTCCAGAACACGTCCCAGTGGGCCACTTGCATCAGTGCAAGCACCCCACCCTTCAGAGCCCCAGAACATTTAGGCCTTTATGAAGGTCCCTCAACCTTTTATTGACATAACGAATCCTGTCTAATCCCAGGAGGCCCTGGCTTGCATTTACAGTCACACATAACACAATCTTGTAAGTCTGTATTAGTGAGAAGCTTAGAGGAACTATATTTTTGTCCTAACATATCACTCCGTGCTTTGATTTCATCTGATGAGGGCATTTGGGTTTGAAGGGTAAGGTTAGTTTCTTCGATCAGTATATCTGTGACATATCCTATATATATTTATATATTACTTTTTTTTTAATCCATCTTTATTTCATTGTTATTTTATTACATTCCTTTTGGTGTGCATTAGTCTCTTAATGATTTTTCAAACTACCTTTTCATCAATCACTTTTTTCTGCACTTTTGTAAATCACTTTGAACTGCAATTGAATTTGTCTGAAAAGTGCTATATAAATAAAGTTGGATTGATAGATTGATTATCTCTATATTGGCCTTGTGATAAATGGTCTAGAAAACAAAACTACTTTTTGTAATAGCTGTAATCGCTAATATGACTGCACTTTTGACAGCATAAACAATCATGTTATCACACAATGCAGAGCCATTGAATGTTGCTCACCATATAGTATCAAAAGGGATTTGATTCAATGTAAATCATAAGCATTTTAACTTTCCCACTATCTTAACCCCCCCCCCCACCCCTTCAACACACCCTCGTCGACCTAAACTCATCTTGATTTGCTCCATTTTGTAAGCAACTGACTGTCGACTGTCAACAGTCAACAGTTGTCCACAGCCCACTCATTAATCATCATCAGCTCAGCAGGCTTGTTCAGTGATTTCACCAGAAGTAAAGATGAGAACATTGTGAAGGCCAATCTTCCCTAACAGCCTCTTGCGCACATCAGACCCACAAACCATCAACTTAACAACCATTTAGTGAAATGCTTTGAAAACCCAGTGCGCCAGAATATGTTTTAAACAATTTCCAGTACTTACTGGAGTAACCCATCACAGACTGGCATCAACTAATTCTCACTTATCTGAACTGGTCTTTAGAGCTTTTGTAGGTGTCGGCATGTACAAATACACAAGTAAAACTGTAGTACAAGACATATCTCTTATATGTCTTTACTGTGTACATCTAATGAGTCTATTGTTAACCTCCATGTCTTTTTTTCCCCCTGACAGAGCCAGGCAGAGGCCCACTATAAGGGCAACCGCCATGCTCGCAGGGTGAAGGGGATAGAGACATCAAAGACAGCTCGCCCCCAAGATGGCGACAAGCAGCACCCTCCACCTTCTGCTTCTCCCTCCCCAATAGGCCCCTCACCATCCAGCCCAGAGCCTGATCCTAATAAGCAGGGTGAGCACTTTGGACTTATGTTGCACACACATTAAGAAATCACCCGAGATACACAACCAAGCTGTTATGTGTGGGCTTAAAAAAGAAGAGTGTCCCAATGTCTATTAAGTTACTTTTATTTCATGATTAAATTGTTTCAAATATCTAAACTAAGTTTTCTGTATCCAATCAAAGCACTATACCTGACAAACAAAACATTATGTCCATCATTTGACATCATCGCCTGTATGATCAGGGCAGAAGAATAAATGTTAAGGTTGATTCTTTACAATTCTTCACTAACTTGATCAACGTTGTGCTCTTTACAGATGACACCCAATCCTGTTCCAACCTTAACAAGCCACCTTTGACCCCTGGCCAACTTCCAACACCCACACTGAGCTCTACAGATGCAGAGTGTCCCCTCTTGCCTTCGGTCAGCATGCCCTTGTCATCCTCTCCCTCACCCTCACCCTCTGCTATTGATCCAGCAGCGTCTGGTCTTCCTGACATCCCGTCACCAGCACCCAGCTCTATGTCAGGGGAGTCAGAGGAAGAGAAAGCCAAGAAGCTTCTTTACTGTTCCTTGTGCAAAGTAGCTGTTAATTCCCTCTCACAACTGGAGGCACACAATAAAGGTAATTCTAATAAAGCTTTGTCAGTTTTAAGAACATCACTCTACAAAGTATGCATAGTGTTAAGAGAAGAAAAGCTTAACAAACAACATTATTATGCTCGAGTCACTCTTTAAAGCAACGTCCCTTAGATTGGCTCTTTAGAAGCACTTCTGCACATTTCTGCCACAGGATGTAAAAACTAAAGCAGGAGCATTAGTGCCACTTAGTGGTAAGAATAGCGGGTTGAAAACTACAGGCTTTGACTTGGTTTTGATGGGTGCTACAACCTTCATCATTGCCCTGCCACCTACATAAGATATTGTCATGCTCATCTAATCAAATAACAGGAATATACTCCCATCTCAATGTTTTCTATAAGGGCCAAGGATTACTCATGATAATTAAAACAGGAACTTTTCAAACATAATCTCTCCAAAGATAAAATTCAGTACTTTGTCTTTAGTATGCAACATTTATACACAATAATATGGCCTTGATTGCAACCAAAGATGATACCTTTCTTTTATTGTTTCCAGGTACCAAACACAAAACCATTCTGGAGGCTCGGAGTGGACTGGGGCCCATTAAGGCATACCCGCGTCTTGGTCCCAAACCCAGCCCAGAGCAGGGAGGGGAGTTGTCCTCTGACCCGAACACTCAGGAACGTACCTTCCACTGTGAGATCTGCAACGTCAGAGTCAACTCAGAGCTCCAGCTCAAACAGGTGAGAAACCCACATAGGAACAAATATCCTGACAAGGGTACACTAGCAACCTCAAATATTCAACTCTGACCTTCTTATTTTATGTTTCAGCATATATCTAGTAGGAGACATCGAGATGGAGTTGCAGGGAAACCTAATCCTCTTCTCAGTCGGCACAAGAAGCGCACAGACTTTATGGTAGAGACTCAGTTTGTCCTTCTCCCAGTCTTATTCCATTTTCTCAATTATCTAAAATCATTATGATTCAGCTTTAAGGAACGATTTGAATGCTTCAATACTGATAACATTTAAATGTCCCTTGACTTTCTCAAAGGAACTCCAAAAAACTCTGGGGGCAGGACTTTTACCAAGTCCTCTGGCTGTTGCTGCAGCAATGGCAGCCGCAGCATCCTCCAATCAGATGGCACTACGTCCTCCTGGCCCATCCTCCCACCCTCATCCCCATCACCACCTCCTGCAGGGAACACCTCTCAGCCTGCTGAGGCCGGCTCCAGGTCCAATTCGCACCACACATGGGCCAATCCTCTTTACTCCTTACTGATGCAATGGATGAGGAACAATCACAAAGAAGCACACTGTGAAGTGGTGGCCTGCAACTGTTTGCCAAGAAGAGCTCAGCTGGTGTTGTTTCAGCAGTAGACACAACTGTGACTCTTTATGTGCAAACTGCAGTTACAGACCACCTCTGTTACTATGAAAAAGAACAGCCACCTTACAAAGCTCAGATATTTCAGAGAGACCTAATGTGTCCATCCTCCCAGTTCCCTTCATCACTCTAGCTACCTGCCGATCAACAAGCAGACTCTGCAGATAGTAAAAAAACAAACAAAAATGTTTTGATCAAGCATGGACTTCTTTGAGCATGCTCGAATCTGAAACTGACTTTATCTAACATATGATCCACCGTATTTGAATCAAAACCCTACCTCTCTTATGTTTTCAATGTTCGCCTCCGCAAGGATTTATGACATATCCAAACAGCATTAAACATGCCTGCTGGGGGAGAAATAGTAACTGCCACAGATGTTAGCTGGTATCATACAGTAGCTGTCACATAGCGTGGATAGAACCACTGTTAGGTCCTGTTTTTTGTAGCTTATAAAGAGAAAAAGACACAGATATTTTGGGCAATGTTTCTGCAGTTGGCAAACATTTCTCTGTTTTGTATGTCTACATTATCACAAAATGCATACATTGTCTATATTAACCACTGTGGGGCAAAAACTGGCAAATAAAGAGAAAAATTAGTGTAGAAGTAACATGACGTCTTAAATCTGTAGTGATAAGTACTTCAACCATGTCTATGGGTTGGCAAAGTTGAACAGAAGTAATTTATTGGTGCACTATGAATCAATCAGGGTTTCTTTCAAATATGTGTGTAAAATGTTGTTAGATTGGACAAAATAATTTACGAACGAGGGTGAGAACTAAATTTGTTTGTGTAAAGCAGGTCCAGATGTAACAATCCCCACTTAAATAAATGATTTCCCAGTTTTCTCCCTTGGTAGCCAACAAACGGGCAATGGTCTTTGCATTAAAAAATAACTAAGCACATATGTAAAAGTCTGGGGAGCAAAGTGTAAACAGGTTCAGCAAGTGACCATCTATGGTTTTTGTATCTGTTACGTGCAAAACTGAAAGGTTTCAGTGTCTTAATAAGTTCACTGTGAACACAGCGGTATAATGGATGTGTGATGACTCTAGAAGCAGGTATTTGCATTTCCTGCACATTTGATTATGCAGACCACATTTTTATCACCACTCATACACGGTTTGAGGAAACAGTGGGATGAAAGACACCAGCATTATGTTACAGAAGGAAAAGAAGTGGACCACATGACGAGGTGAGTGGCTGTATGCAAAAAAAAAAACAACACACTGTTTGTGTTAGTGTTATAGGCCTGTAATGGGATAAAACAAGTATTTAGGTTGTCTGCTCTGCCTTGTGTGCTTCCTACATGACCCTGAACTATCCCAGTGAAAACTCTCATGATGGCTTGTACCACATTAGAAGGAAGCTTTAGGAAACTGAAACTGTAGCAATACTTAAAGCACTCCTACTAACTATTCCTGTTCAATGCAATAAAAGAAAATGTCTTCAAATGTATGAATTGTTATGTAGGGGAAGTGTCTTGAATCATTATTGTAAATGTAGATTATTAAAAACATTAGAGAAGGAACATGTTGGGCTCTTAATTGTTAAATAAAAATAAAAATATATAAAAAAAATAAACTGAGTTTATGGTTGTAAGCAATATTGTTTGTATGTTTTGCACATTTTTAAATGTCATTTGATATAACTACAAGAATTGATTACAACAGAAGTTGGTTGTACCAGTAGATTATTTATTTTATCATGTGAACAAATGGCATGCACAACTTGAGCAATGTTAAACATATTTCAGATCAGGGTTTTGACTTACAGGACATTCCTAAAGTTAATAAGTAATTATATAGCACATCCATGATTTGGCTTTCAAATTATTCATGATCATATTACATCCATGGAGTTTCACAGGTTAGTGCAGTTTTCAAAAACCTATTATTATATGACAATTTGCTTAAACTTTAAACCTCCTTTAAGTTTACATGAGGTTAACTTTGTTAAAATCTGAAATTTAAATTTCCACAAATGGTATAGATAAACTGAAAAAAAGGGCAGGCACATAAAACATCCGCGAACAGGAAGCGTGAGAACAAGAGGACAAGCTCACTACAGGGCATAAAGTACGCTTCAAATGATCAAACAATCGGACAGTTGGAAGTTATTTAGACTGAGGCGAGGCAACAATCCTGGTAACTACTTCTATTTAAATGCTTATTTATTTACACCTTAGAAAATTGATTTAAGCTAATGGAAGATTTGGCTGGTTGATTATTGACCTCAGTTGGCTCTTTTTTTTTACTTGTGACAGGAAATGTTCAACATTTTAAACTGAAATAACAATATAAACCAAAATATAATAATGGACAATCACAATAATTATTAGCTGCTGACTTTCTCTAAGTTTTATTGCATTTTTCCCCTAATTGAGAGGATTCAGAGCTACTCTAATTCATATAAAGCGTTTTTTTGTTATGCAGCATCTATACTGTATAATTTCATCAAGTTAAAGAGACACCAGACAAGGCTGCTGTCTTTCCCTTTAACCTAAATTTACTCAGATTAGTTTCTAGCTACTGTATAAAACGGCTCAATCCTCTCTTACATTATATGAAAGGATGTATGACACTTGGAATGAAAAATCCCAAGTTTTTATAAACAAAGTGAAAATGTAGCTAGTAGCAGTAAGTCAGTTAAAAGGAAGATACCTTAGACGACATTATCGTCATTGTTGGGCTCGTTACTGAAAAAAAGTTATGTATTACTCATTACTTATTTTAAAAGTTATATCATTACTTTAATTATTACTGTCTGATAACAGTAATTTGTTACACTACTCGTTGTAGAAACATAGTCCATCTCTGAAAGTTTAAATGCTTTCTTCAACTCAGCTTCCCTCAAAGTGTATTCCTTGTCTAGATAGCTTTCAAATATTTTTTTACCTGGGAGTCTTGCATTCCCTTTTACTGGTATTTCCTCAAGTATCTGTCTGAAAGACGCATATTCAACTGTGGAGACATTTCATCCAGCACATACCCGGGCACAAGGTTCATTAGTTCTTTTTCGCTTGTAGCCTGCTGTCCACGATTTCCTAAACAACCAAGACTGGATTTAAATCGTGGACACCAGTCTTGGTTGTTTAGGCATTGTAGGGCTACAGCTATCCTCCGCGCCCGCAGAGGGCTCGTTGGTGGGGTTTATTTCCACAAGCTTGTAGTTGTTTTGCTGTCGTTGTTAGTTCTTAAGGAGGTTTGAGGTCGTGTTATTAGCAGTAGAAAGAGTCCTTCTACCGAGACACAATCTGACAACGATGTTCTTGTCATCTTTCCTCTCGACAAAACTAAAGTAATGGGTATATTTCCAGCTGCTGAATGTAAATGTGTGCGCTTCCATCTTCCAAGCTAGACAGGATTGCAGGGTATATGTGTCAACAACTGTGGAAAAACTAAAAAATACCCACGGCAGCACCTAAAAAAAAGCCCAATTCCACAGGAAAATCGCTTACCTGTCAACCATGCTTGCTTAGCTGATGTGTACGACGAGATTAATCTGAGGATTGTTGCATTTTAAATCAGAAGAGGGGTAATAACAACAACAGTAAGGTTGTAACTAGTTATTTTTTGTGTGGGTAACTGTAATGTTATTACTGGAATTTAATACTAATTTGTTACACTACTCATAAAAGTAATTTTATTACTGTAAAGCGTTACTAGTAATGCGTTACTGCCCAACACTGATTATCGTATACTTTTAAAGAAATGTGGCTATGGCTATGTAGCAAGATCAGAAAAGATAAAATAAAAAAATGGACATGAAACAAACCTTTTGAAATGTGTTAAACTGTTCTGTGTTTAGATGAACCACACAAACCAAACAGAGGAAGACCTCTTCTCCTGCTACAGTCCATCGGTCGTAGGTTACCGATACTTTGCTGTGCTGTGGGGATGTGCTGTGACCATCATCGGTACGTTAGGGAACCTGATGACCATTCTAATCTTCACCTTAGACCCACGTCTGAGGACTCGCTTTAATGCACTCATCATCAACCTGGCTGTAGCTGACCTCCTATACTGCACCATACTGCAGCCTATCTTAGTTGACTCGTATTTACACCTCAGGTGGCGCAGTGGTCAGCTCTGGTGCAGCATCGTTGGACTGCTCCTTTTCCTCTCCAACTCTGTGTCCATCATCACCCTTTGCTTGGTAGCATTGAGCAGATATCTCCTGGTTGCAAAAAGGGCCATGTTTGACCGTATCTTCTCCAACCATGGTCTTATTTTACTCCTGATGTCAGTGTGGGCACTAGGTCTTGCCAGCGTTGGCCCACTCTGGCATGTTTACGTGTTTGTGCCACAAGTGTGCACATGCAGCTTCCATCGGACCAGGGGTCGACCCTACACCACCATCCTGCTTTTTGTCTACTTCTTTGTTGGTTTGGGCTGTGTTGGCGTATTCTACCTCCTCATTTACAGACATGTCATGATTGCATCGCAAGCTCTGGTCCGCTACAGATTCAGCCGAAGGTCATCTAGAAGGAATGCAGCGCCTTCATCACAGGGGACTGATGACAGTGGTGTAGAGACTGGTATTGTCAACACATGTAGCTGTGAACTGAGCAGCAAGCTGGAAAAAAACCCAAACCAGGAAGAGATCACCTGTAATAAGTGCTCCCAATCTACACAGGCCTCAACTACTGCTTCAAATCCACCCATTGATACCGTCTCGATACCAGCTTCACCGACACCTGCTCCCCAAATCGCAGCACCTTCGAACTCCACAGCCTCAAGTGGAGATGATAAGGACATGAAGCGTGTAACTTCCATGTGTTTAATTGTTTTCCTGTGTTTTGTATTCTGCTTTGTTCCATTCCTGTTGATCAACATAGCCGACAAACACAACCGTGCTCCACAGTTACTTTACATGTTCTGTACAAACCTAACCTGGCTCAACAGCTGTATCAACCCAATACTTTATGCTGTCATGAACAGACAGTTTCGCCAAGCCTATTACATACTGCTCACCAGGGCTGTTGCATAATTTACCTGCCAGAGATCCTGATTTACTCCAACTTGCCGAGTGCTAATTGTAAAACATAAACCCAGACACCAGCGATTTTAGGATCAGATCTTAAGGGGGTGCTCAACTCCTAAATAAAATGTGACATTTTGAGATACTATATAATCCTCCTGCTAAACCACTAACTTCAAGAACAATAAATATTTTCCTACATGTAAAAATGTTATTCATAACATGAAGTCACACATATTTTACACTACATAATAGTTTTAAGGAGATGAAAGTAGAAATGAGCTGTTTTTGCAAAAGCTTTAAATTGGTACAGGTAGTATTATTGTTATTATGAAATTATTATTTGTACATTATTTTGTAAGCAGTTCAGCATAACTCTTCTCATTGTTGAGCCATATTTTAATGCCAATACCATTATACTATTATATCAATGTTTTGAATGCAGGGCTTTTAAATGTAACATGCATCTCAACCTTATTTATAATAACTACTTTTACTAAAGTAAATTATCTTGACATTTTTAGGATGGAAGTAAGGGTCCTAAAATAAGCTAAATCTTAATATTTTCTCACTGAAAATAACCTACCTTTTGCATCTCTGGGGTTTTTCTGCTATTCGTGAGTAAGAAAATGAAATATTTTCTTACGCATCCTGACAGGGAATTATCATTTAGAATTTAGGAATACTGCAGCTGGTAAAATGATATTTAACATTCTCACCTTTACTGTCGTGAAATATATATTATTATATTACACATGATATTATTATAATCGACTAGTGATGAAGACTCTTCTGTTAAAGGATGGTGTAAAGTCATGTCAGAACTGGTTTACCTTAGAATAACTTGCAAGTACTTTACATGCAAAAAATAAAAACAGTATAACAAAGTCTGGCAGCCCTATCTGAATTATCTTGGGCTGGCTCTCTCTGCCATTGTCAACAAGGATTCTCCTCAATCTGAATTGTAACATATAGGGCAAGGGGAGTAGCAATCCTTTTTCGTAATAATGTCCCCTTTCTACTTAAATCCAGAATTTCAGATCCAAATGGGAGATTTATTCTTATTTCTGGATATATTAATTCATTCCCAATTACTTTGTTAAACATATGGCCCAAATTCTGACGATCCTACATTTTTTCGTGAAGTTTTCGAATTACTTCCAGAGGATGGGTCCTCCAATATTCTCATTGGTGGAGATTTAAATTGCCATTTAGATCCATCTTTAAACAGATCATCTCCTAAATCTCCTACAACTATTAACTCTGTTCAGACATTAAACAATTTGATAAAATCAAGAAATATGGTAGATAACTGGAGAATACAACACCCCGATAAAAAGGAATATTCATTTTACTCACATGTGCATCAGTCTTATACTAGAATTGATTATTTTATAGTGGAGGCCAGTTTGATCTCACATATCAGTAACACGTGTTATCATAATATTCTGATCTCGGATCATAGTCCTGTTACATTACAGCTCCAATCCTCTTTTAACAAACCAAAATACAACTGGAGATTTAATCCTCTATTACTATCAACACCTGGGTTTACAAACCCACAACATATTAACAGTTGTTTTAAATAATTTTATTCCAAACTCTATTCCCCTACTTCCACAGCAACAGAGACAGATTACTCTCAGTTCTTCAATTCTTTGACTCTGTCACAACTAAATGAGAAAAACCAACAATTTTTGGAAAGAATGTTCTCTGTTGCTGAGTTAGAGGACGCAATTAAGACATTCCCTAAAGGAAAATGCCCTGGACCAGATCTATTTGGTTCTGAGTTATATCAAGCATTTCAGGAGATTTTAGCACCTTACTTACTTAGGATGATACATGATTCAATTGCAAAAAAAAACACTACCACCATCTTTATATGAGGCAAACATATGTTTGTTACTGAAAAGCGGGAAAGATCCCATTGATCCTGCCAATTACCGACCCATCTCTCTTCTAAATTCAGATCACAAAATCTTAACAAAAGTATTAGCCACTAGATTAAATACATTTATAGCAACAATTATTCATCCAGACCAAGTGGGCTTCATCACAGGCAGGCTTTCTTTTTTTAATGTGCGTCGGGTGTTGAATATTTTGCATTCTGACTTAGGTAAAGATACTAAAGCTGCTGTCATAACACTGGATGCCCAGAAAGCGTTTGACTCTATCGAATGGTTTTACTTATTTGAAACCTTGAAAAGGTTCGGACTTGATTAAAATGATATATCATTCCCCTAAATCCTCAGTTTTAACAAATAATACATTATCAGAGTCTTTTAGTCTACACCAGGGTGTGAGACAGGGAGATTGTCTGTCCCCCTTATTATTTAATATTGCATTAAAGCCTTTGGCTCATCCACACATAAAGGGAATTTCAGCTGGTACATCTGAACGTCTTGTTACACTTTACGTGGATGATTTACTTGTTACCTTAATAAATCCTGAAGTGGGTACCCCTTATCTTTTAAAATATGTAGAACTATTCAGTAAGATCTCGGGCTACACAATAAATTGGGACAAAAGTGAACTTGTGCTTATTGGAGAGAATACAATTCTACATGATTGTCCTTTCAAGATTGCTCATGATCACATCACATATTTTGGCATTAAAATATCAAAAAACCCTAAGCGTTTGTTCAAATTAAATCTGTTCGCAGGTCTTGATAGGCTAAAACGCAGCATAGAATACTGGAGGACCTTACCTCTATCTATGATTGGCAGAGTTAATGCCATTAAAATGGTATCCTTACCAAAATTCTCATCTTTTTCAAAATCTGCCTATTTGGATCAAAGCTGACTTTTTCAAGTTTTAGACTTTGTTTGGGGTTATAAAAAACACAGACTTTCCAAAAAAATGCTCTGGGCCACAGTGTATATCATACAATGATAGCAGTATCTCAGACTATGGAATGATTGATGCTATTTACATATTTGATCAAAATGAGGCGACACTTAATGGAAATCAGACCACTCATGCAATGGCCACAGTTATGATGTCAGACGACCACAGATGCCCATTGCCTTGCCAAGATTCCACACAAGACACTTTCTGCCTTGAACAACTATGATGTAGATCAGGGGTGTCCAAAGTGCGGCCCGAGGGCCATTTCCGGCCCTTGAGGGGATTTTTTGCGGCCCGTGACTTCAAATGAAGAATCAGAAGATTTTGAGGCCTTGATTAAGATTGGCACATTATCTTATTTTTCTTTTTCATGTTAACAAGGGCTGAACAATATTCATAAAATAGAAAATGTTCAGTAACATGTATGTTGTTGTTGTTTTTAAATCTGCAGCTTTTACTATTTTCCAAATTTTTTTGTAAACTATGAACAAAAAACATATACAAAGTTTTTGCAAACAAGCAGACTGATGTTTAACCATTTATGACCTGAGCTAAATGAAGAAAGCTTTTCCAAAAACATGAACCATGTTACAGACTCGATTCTGAGAAAAAAACAAATAAAGTAGAACGAAGAAATCTAAATATTTGATTTCCTTTCATTAAAGGGTTTCTTTAGCGAGCCTTTTGATTCTGATCTACAAAGCCTTACTATTTTGTCATCTATATTTTAAAAAACAAAACCTGCGGCCCACGAGCAATTCTAACACGACAATTTTGGCCCGCAAGAAAAAAAGTTTGGACACCACTGATGTAGATGGATAAGACCTTCACAGGTAGTTTGAACATATATAAACAATGTCTTGTCAACTAGGTAAATCATCAGGAGCACATAAGGCCTCATTTGGATGAGGGCTTTCTTCTCTGAGTGTTTATTCTTTCTTTAGGCCGCAAGAATCTTGAGTTTCTTTCAAATGTCAAGTTGAAAAAAATGGCAACCTATTGTTTTTCATTAGAAATATGTTTGTCCCCTCACCATTCCTCCCCAGCCCCCTTTGTCATTTCATCCTGGCGCCATTGTTCCAGACCTAATTTAGATAATTTCTCATCACTGATCTATCCCCAGAAAGAACAGTATGTAAATTCCCCTGCTAGGGGGCCCTCAATCAAGACTATTAGGCAAATGCAAACGCTTCTTTGGCATGGCTGGATATTTTTCCTTGCATTTTCTCAAGTATTTTCACGGTGACGATTTGTCAAGGGGCTTCTCATATAACTTGTATACCCCAACATGTACATTAGATAATGCAGTCTGGCAGTGTCTGCATATCGTCACCTTCTCCTTTCTTATTTCTTGACAAGGGAAAACAGAAATGCTTCAACACGTCAGATTTAAAAGGCACTGGACGCCCACAATTTCCAATCGTCTCGCTGTACTCCCTCGTAAATAATAGTAGTTTTCCGCCATTTTTTCTGTATTGAGGCACCAAGAGATGATGGGGATCTCTGTAGTTCCCACTTCCCTTTGCTCTGCTCCAGTGCGGCTGAAACAGAACAACACTTTTCTGCCCAGAAGACCTTTTGTTTCACCATCACAGGCCCATGACGGTACAAGCGATATTGTGGAATTGAACCGTAACATCCCATGTAGTTCAACAATGCAACTCGCCAATCTAAACAAAACTTTCAGTGATTGGTCTCCCTAACTCTCTCCCATCAATTATAAACTGTCCCAGTGAGTTCTCTTATAGGCCTGGGGCACTTCTGCTGAAAATATTCTAAGCATTTATCTATAGGCAGTTGTTTTCTGAATACCTGTTATTGATTTTGCCCTGTTTATGTACTTGCAGCGCATTTGTAGTTCATGCAATTTTAAATCAAATTGATAACAGCTAACTACAGTGACAGAAACCATGCTTCAGAAAAATCATTTGGCGTGTTTTTTAATCTTCTGGTTTGACTCAAATACCATTTGTTAACATTAGGAGGCAGAATTTATAACCTATACTGCTGCCAGTGGGAGGAGCTCTGTATTGCTTTGCTTCATTTTTCTACAATTCACGCTTTGATCCAAATCGACATGTACATCAGCGAGTAAGTAGGATCTAGAAAAAAGGAAACAATGTCAGTAAATGCAAAGATCAGCTTAAAGTCTGATTGGACAGGTGCTGACAGGCATTGCACAACATTGACGGCAGTTCTTCAGAGCTCTAACCAGTATAGAAAGAGTTGTTAGAAAGAGAGTTGTAATAGTCAATGAGTGATATCACAAGAGCCTGTACCAGGAGCTGTGTAGCATGTTCTGGCAGGTAAGGTCTGATCTTCCTGATGTTATACAGGGAAAATCGACATGACCGGGCAATCAAGGCCACTTGAACCTTAAATGTTAGCTGGTCATCAATCGTGACACCCAGGTTCTGGGCAGACTTTGTTGGCATGAGTTTGGTTGTACCAAGCTGGATATTGATCTGTGGTTGTATAGAAGGACTAGCTGGGATGACAAGGAGCTCAGTATTTGAAAGGTTGAGTTGAAGGTGGCTTTCAGTCATCCATTTAGAGATATAAGCAAGGCATGACGAGATTCTTGCTGAGACTGTAACACTTTCTGGCGGTAATGACAGGAAGAGCTGGGTATCGTCAACATAGCAGTGGTATGAGCAGATTATTGAACCAAGTGAGCTTGTGTAAATGGAGAAGAGAAGGGGACCAAGCACTGACCCTTGGGGTACCCCTGTGGATAAATAGTGCCCTATGGACACTTCTCCCTTCCAAGACACTCTAAAAGATCGCCTGGAGAGGTAGGACACAAACCAGCAGAGGGCAGATCCTGAGATGTCAAGTTCGGAGAGCGTGGATAGGAGGATTTGATGGTTAACTGTGTCAAAGGCAGGACTGACCCGCAGCTCGTACCGATTATGTTACTGACAGTAGTGCAGTCTCAGTAGAGTGGCTCCACTTAAAGCCTGACTGATTTGGGTCAAACAGATCGTTTCTGGACAGGAACTTAGGGACTTGATTAAAGACTGTGCGCTCAAGTATTTTTGACAGAAAGGGCAGAAGAGAAATCGGTCTGTAGTTTTCAACCTGGGCTGGGTTGAGTGTGGGTTTTTTGAGCAGAGGGGTGACCCGAGCTTGCTTGAATGCGGTGGGGAACACACCCGTTGACAGAGAGGAGTTGATGATATGCTTAAGTGCAGCATTAAGCGGAGAGGAAATGGTCTGCAGGAGGCTTGATGGTATTGGGTATAGAGGACAGGTGGTGGGCCGAGAGTCTAGCACAAGCTTAGAGACTTTGTCCTCAGTCAGAGAGGAGAATGAGTCGAGTTAGGCACTTTTGGTTGGTGCCTTTGGGCTGAGTTGGTCAGGCTTAGAAAACTGGTTACTGATGGTTGCAAGCTTTTCAGTAAAATATGAGGCAAACATGTCTGGTGTGAACACATCGGAGGGTGGAGGAGGAGGTGGTTGAAGCACTGAGTTAAAAGCAGAAAACATTTTTCATCCGTGGCATTGCATATCTTGTTCTGATAATATGTTGTCTTGGCTATTTTCAGGCTGGAGGAAAAAGAGACAAGTCTTTGCTTATAGTCATTGAGGTCAGCGGAATGTTTGGATATTTGTCATTTTCTCTTCAGTGAGCCATGGACTAGAGTAGGTTTTGCGAGCGGGTTTGGACACTAGAGGGTCAGAGTTTGTTCAGAGATGAGGTTAGTGTGGAGCAGAGTGAGTCTGTAGCCTCATCTGTAGAGAGTGCGGTAAATACTTTATCGGCAGGCATGGCAGCAAAGGAAGTCTGTTGCCTGGGCTTTATCAGTGTATGTTCCCATGACAATCAGTGGTGTTCCATCCTCAGGGATTTCTGAGAGTAGCATGTCCAGTTCCACAACAAAATCATTCAGATTACACCCTGGTGGGTGGTAAATGATGGCAATGTACATTTTAACAGGAGCAGTAACCATGATTGTGTGATAGACAAATGAGGAGTTGTTGCTCAGTGGGAAGAGTTTATTGAATTTCCAGATATTAGAAATGCGGATAAAAGTTCAGTAAGGGCAAGTGCCTGGATGTCTGACATTTTTGCAAGTGCTTGGATGAATAGTTGTCTATTGCGGTGTCTTTTCCTGTTCCCATGAATGACAGAGATTTGTTTGTAGCACATGTTGCATTTGGCAGATGACCAGAGGAAATATAGCAAAGGGTGTTTGCTATATTTGGCTCTGTGGTCATAGATAGCTTCCTAGTTTTCAGATCAGAGCTTTTTCTGCTAGAAGTTTCGGATTCAGACTCTTTTAAGCTTGGAATTTAGTGAAAATCTATAGCATTTACAAATTCATCTGATTTAACCTCTAAGACAAAATTTCATTAATGTGTCACAGGAATTGAAAAGTTTAAAGCTAAACTCTTAGATAATAAAGTAGGCTGGTAAAAATAACGTTCACATGGTGTAGATTTGTTTATCCTTTGATCTAACCAACTAAAAACGTAGGTTATCTTGATAAATATAAAATTGGGATTACGTAATATAAACACCTATAGTTACATTAAGCAGAATTATTTTTAATACAATACACAGAACCATTGCAAGCAATATTGGGCACAAGTTAAACCTAGTACTTAGTAAGCTATGACATTAACTGAGGTTACATCCTTTTTTGTTTGGACAGTCCCCAAAATGCCTGCAGGCAACATGCGAATATAACTACTTGGTTATATTTCCCTATTAAAGCCATTTATCTTGCAATTATTTATTACATTAAGCACACTAAAACAAAGTTTCATGGTTCCTTCACTTCAAATAAGGAAGTGAACACACATGGGTGTGAAAACCTCACATTATGCAGAGATTACTAATACAACACGGAGAAGCACATGAAATGTAATAGCAGGAGGAAGTCACGCATTCAGCAAAGCAGATCAGATCACAGCAGACGTTTATACTGCTATGACATCAACAAGTTGAAGGCAGCAGAGAACCAGCAAATTCAGAAGATTTAAGGTGAGCAGCATTGAATATATTTTTCAATCTTCTATTCACCTCAAATATTAAAAAACACCTTTATTTTAACGTGAAAAATGTTTTTTAAATTGCTTAACAAATTTTTGATTCTGCCTTTATTCTATTTATTTTTTTACTTCAAAAAGTAAAAAGTAATCATCTTTACCAATAATTCGTCTCAGTGGTGTGAACATATTATCCATACAAAAGTCTTTGTAAAAGAATTAGTGGTTTTATCGAGACCAACTGTAACCAAATTACATGGGTGACCAACTGTCACCTGTGGCACTGCTAACCACAATATGAAGGGGGGTGGACTAGTTTTCTGTTTAAATGTAACTACGAGAAATACATCAAATTACAGAAATGTTTATCTACGGTTTGATTCCTCAATAGAATGCTGATGAACCACACAAACCAAACAGAGGAAGACCTCTTCTCCTGCTACAGTCCATCGGTCGTAGGTTACCGATACTTTGCTGTGCTGTGGGGATGTGCTGTGACCATCATCGGTACGTTAGGGAACCTGATGACCATTCTAATCTTCACCTTAGACCCACGTCTGAGGACTCGCTTTAATGCACTCATCATCAACCTGGCTGTAGCTGACCTCCTATACTGCACCATACTGCAGCCTATCTTAGTTGACTCGTATTTACACCTCAGGTGGCGCAGTGGTCAGCTCTGGTGCAGCATCGTTGGACTGCTCCTTTTCCTCTCCAACTCTGTGTCCATCATCACCCTTTGCTTGGTAGCATTGAGCAGATATCTCCTGGTTGCAAAAAGGGCCATGTTTGACCGTATCTTCTCCAACCATGGTCTTATTTTACTCCTGATGTCAGTGTGGGCACTAGGTCTTGCCAGCGTTGGCCCACTCTGGCATGTTTACGTGTTTGTGCCACAAGTGTGCACATGCAGCTTCCATCGGACCAGGGGTCGACCCTACACCACCATCCTGCTTTTTGTCTACTTCTTTGTTGGTTTGGGCTGTGTTGGCGCATTCTACCTCCTCATTTACAGACATGTCATGATTGCATCGCAAGCTCTGGTCCACTACAGATTCAGCCGAAGGTCATCTAGAAGGAATGCAGCGCCTTCATCACAGGGGACTGATGACAGTGGTGTAGAGACTGGTATTGTCAACACATGTAGCTGTGAACTGAGCAGCAAGCTGGAAAAAAACCCAAACCAGGAAGAGATCACCTGTAATAAGTGCTCCCAATCTACACAGGCCTCAACTACTGCTTCAAATCCACCCATTGATACCGTCTTGATACCAGCTTCACCGACACCTGCTCCCCAAATCGCAGCACCTTCGTACTCCACAGCCTCAAGTGGAGGAGATAAGGACATGAAGCGTGTAACTTCCATGTGTTTAATTGTTTTCCTGTGTTTTGTATTCTGCTTTGTTCCATTCCTGTTGATCAACATAGCCGACAAACACAACCGTGCTCCACAGTTACTTTACATGTTCTGTACAAACCTAACCTGGCTCAACAGCTGTATCAACCCAATACTTTATGCTGTCATGAACAGACAGTTTCGCCAAGCCTATTACATACTGCTCACCAGGGCTGTTGCACAATTTACCTGCCAGAGATCCTGATTTACTCCAACTTGCCAAGTGCTAATTGTAAAACATAAACCCAGACACCAGCGATTTTAGGATCCTCCTGCTAAACCACTAACTTCAAGAACAATAAATATTTTCCTACATGTAAAAATGTTATTCATAACATGAAGTCACACATATTTTACACTACATAATAGTTTTAAGGAGATGAAAGTAGAAATGAGCTGTTTTTGCAAAAGCTTTAAATTGGTACAGGTAGTATTATTGTTATTATGAAATTATTATTTGTACATTATTTTGTAAGCAGTTCAGCATAACTCTTCTCATTGTTGAGCCATATTTTAATGCCAATACCATTATACTATTATATCAATGTTTTGAATGCAGGGCTTTTAAATGTAACATGCATCTCAACCTTATTTATAATAACTACTTTTACTAAAGTAAATTATCTTGACATTTTTAGGATGGAAGTAAGGGTCCTAAAATAAGCTAAATCTTAATATTTTCTCACTGAAAATAACCTACCGTTTGCATCTCTGGGTTTTTCTGCTATTCGTGAGTAAGAAAATCAAATATTTTCTTACGCATCCTGACAGGAATTATCATTTAGAATTTAGTTTTTCACTACTTGTTACCTGTGATATTGTGGTGTAAAAATTGTCCACCTACTCTCCTACTGTCCTAAGATTCATGCAGTTCTAAACTCTGCAGTTCTAAACACTATGCAATGTTATCACAAGGCATTCTTAATGTTAGTTGGCAACCTAGAGCTCTTAACCACCGGATTTAAGGAAGGCTTATATCTTTGGCTGGTGCTTAAGGAAAAATAACTTCTACTCCCCCAACCTTTTTTATTTTTTTCATATGTACATTGTTCTTCTTCTTGTATCCTTTTATTTCTCTTCTGAATTTAAAGCATTCTGGTCCATCAATTCACATTCAACACATAACCCCTCATTTTGTGGGAAACCTGCACAGCCTTTGCAAGAGGATTGATTATATCACACTCTGCCACACAGAGGCACCAGAAGCTGGAAAATCTTTAGAAACTGAACTTCTAGATAAAGAAAGAGTCTATATTAACACGCCTACTTTATGGACTGAAACATCTGCCAACCAATCAGCTATTAATTGTCTCCTTACTAGTAATGTAGAGAAAAAAATCAGGTAAACTAAACTGAAGTTTTATGAACATGAAGACAAACCAAGAAAATGTCTGCATATCTAGTAAATAAAGAGTAGGATCTCAATCACAGATGGAACAGATGTCTCTAATTCTGGGGCTCCAAAGTAGGAATACTGCAGCTGGTAAAATGATATTTAACATTCTCACCTTTACTGTCGTGAAATATACATTATTATATTACACATGATATTATTATAATCGACTAGTGATGAAGACTCTTCTGTTAAAGGATGGTGTAAAGTCATGTCAGAACTGGTTTACCTTAGAATAACTTGCAAGTACTTTACATGCAAAAAATAAAAACAGTATAACAAAGTCTGGCAGCCCTATCTGAATTATCTTGGGCTGGCTCTCTCTGCCATTGTCAACAAGGATTCTCCTCAATCTGAATTGTAACATATAGGGCAAGGGGAGTAGCAATCCTTTTTCGTAATAATGTCCCCTTTCTACTTAAATCCAGAATTTCAGATCCAAATGGGAGATTTATTCTTATTTCTGGATATATTAATTCATTCCCAACTTCCTGTAACGTGGACAATTAGTGTAAATGTAATTTTGTTGACCTGAGCTGTGTTTTTTGTCTGTATTTGTTTCTACCTGCTAGGTCGGGTTACTGTGGCTTGTATCACTCTTAGAAAATTCAATAAACATGTGGAAAAAAACAAGGGTGTGTCTTTTTACAAATTATGTAGAGCCTCCTACACTACAAAGACTAACTTCAAGGGGCCACAGGCAGCTAGAAATCAGGTGAAAGCAACACACACAGTGGGTCTTTTTCAAACCAGCCACTACACTACCTGAGAGAGGGAAGTTTTTCCCAAAGCCTGCCGATGTATTTCTACCCTTACCCTTGATGAAGGGGACTTCACTCAGCTCCGTCACGGAGGGGGAGGGGGTAGGGGTTGGTTTGAAAAAGGACCAGTGTCTACACAAGCCATCTTCTCTGGAAGACCAGATGAGATCAGATGTCAAAATTCAGCTGTGGATGCTGGCATCAAGATCTATTTGCTTTTGACACCAAATATCACCGAAGCTGTCTTGACCATTTCATCACTGAAAGAAATGTGGCTGCAGCCAGATGAAAATGTCAAAATGAGGATAGCTGTAAGCTCACTGAGTACCCTTGTAGAAAGATTCGAAAGCAATCTGAAAATGCACTCAACTCGTGATTAAATGTGCGTCATGAAAGTTGAAGCCGAAGCCGCTTAATCACTACAAAGATGAAATTGTGTTTGTAGAACGGCAAGGTAAATCAGATTTGGTTTGCTCAACCAGTTTACCTATTGGCCTTGTGATGAGGGAAGCTGCTTTACTCAAGTAAAATGACACAAAAGAAAGTGATGATGTGCATTAAGAATGCTCTGCGCTGGCACAATCAAGTCTTTCTTCTTTTTTTTTATATATCATCCATGCCATGTATGAAATGATGGATGGACAAATGAATTATGATTATTTGAGTTATTTGTAAGTATGTCTACAATTCTAAATGATAAAATTACACTAACCTCGTGGAATGTGAGGGGCGTTGGAAATGACATAAAATGCGGGAAGGTTTTCTCTCATTTGAAATCACTAAATGCAGACATTTTGTTCCTACAAGAGACTCACACTATTAAAGACACTGAATATAAACTAAAACCAAACTGGATCTCTCAGGTGTACCACGCTGTCATGATTTGGTCTTATTTAGGTTTGTATTTAGGTTTCCATGTTTTGCTTTCTCCTGTTCTTCCCTAGTGTTGCTGGTTTTTCCCTTGTGTGTTTCCTAGTTTAATCATAAGTGTTATTTTGTCATTTCAAATCCTTGCGTCCCTCTCAGTTCCAGTGTGTCTTGATGTTTAACAGTGTCTTCAGTGTTTCATGTATTTGTCATAGTTGTCCTCAGTGTTTCTTGTCCTGCCTCTGTGTGTTTCCCTCCAGTGTTGATTGTCTTCACCTGTGTCGTTAGTCTCACCTGTGTCTGATTACCCCTTGTCTATTTAGTCTCAGTGTTTCTTGCTTTCTGTGTCAGTTCATTGTATGTGTTCTTTGTACGTAGTTTGTTGGTGTGTCAGGTTTTTTGCTCGTGCTCCTCTGTGGCTCCCTATTTTTGATCCTTGTGTTTTTTGTTGAACTTTTGAAAGTAAGTTTTTGTTGCCTTTGGCCTTTTTGTTTAATTAAACATTTTTGGGTCCACCTCCCTTGTTTCCCAACCGTTCGTGACACATGCTCCTTTTACATATAGGGCAAGGGGAGTAGCAATCCTTTTTTGTAATAATGTCCCCTTTCTACTTAAATCCAGAATTTCAGATCCAAATGGGAGATTTATTCTTATTTCTGGATATATTAATTCATTCCCAATTACTTTGTTAAACATATGGCCCAAATTCTGACGATCCTACATTTTTTTTGTGAAGTTTTCGAATTACTTCCAGAGGATGGGTCCTCCAATATTCTCATTGGTGGAGATTTAAATTGCTATTTAGATCCATCTTTAAACAGATCATCTCCTAAATCTCCTACAACTATTAACTCTGTTCAGACGTTAAACAATTTGATAAAATCAAGAAATATGGTAGATAACTGGAGAATACAACACCCCGATAAAAAGGAATATTCATTTTACTCACATGTGCATCAGTCTTATACTAGAATTGATTATTTTATAGTGGAGGCCAGTTTGATCTCACATATCAGTAACACGTGTTATCATAATATTCTGATCTCGGATCATAGTCCTGTTACATTACAGCTCCAATCCTCTTTTAACAAACCAAAATACAACTGGAGATTTAGTTCTCTATTACTATTAACACCTGGGTTTAAAGAGTACATGGTTAGAAACTTTTTGAGATCAATGACAATGGAGAAGTTTCAGACTCTACACTCTGGGAAGCACTTAAAGTTACCATGAGAGGATTCGTTATTTCTTTTGAGACCTTTCGAAAAAAGGAAAAATGTAGAAGAATAAAAGAAATAGAACAAGAAATTACCCAACTTGAACAAATAGAACTTCCCTGTCACAGTCTGACTATAATAAAATTATGAGATTAAAATCAGAATATAACTCTGTTCTTGGAGGGGAAATTAAGAATCTACTACTGTAGACCAGACAAAAACATTTTGAATTGAGCGATAAACCTCAATAATTACTTTCAAGACAATTTAAAGGGGAGCAAGCAAAGACGACTATTCATAAAATACAGTCCAAAACTGGTAAAATACTCACAAACCCACAACATATTAACAGTTGTTTTAAATAATTTTATTCCAAACTCTATTCCCCTACTTCCACAGCAACAGAGACAGATTACTCTCAGTTCTTCAATTCTTTGACTCTGTCACAGCTAAATGAGAAAAACCAACAATTTTTGGAAAGAATGTTCTCTGTTGCTGAGTTAAGAGGACGTAATTAAGACATTCCCTAAAGGAAAATGCCCTGGACCAGATCTATTTGGTTCTGAGTTATATCAAGCATTTCAGGAGATTTTAGCACCTTACTTACTTAGGATGATACATGATTCAATTGCAAAAAAAAACACTACCACCATCTTTATATGAGGCAAACATATGTTTGTTACTGAAAAGCGGGAAAGATCCCATTGATCCTGCCAATTACCGACCCATCTCTCTTCTAAATTCAGATCACAAAATCTTAACAAAAGTATTAGCCACTAGATTAAATACATTTATAGCAACAATTATTCATCCAGACCAAGTGGGCTTCATCACAGGCAGGCTTTCTTTTTTTAATGTGCGTCGGGTGTTGAATATTTTGCATTCTGACTTAGGTAAAGATACTAAAGCTGCTGTCATAACACTGGATGCCCAGAAAGCGTTTGACTCTATCGAATGGTCTTACTTATTTGAAACCTTGAAAAGGTTCGGACTTGATTAAAATGATATATCATTCCCCTAAATCCTCAGTTTTAACAAATAATACATTATCAGAGTCTTTTAGTCTACACCAGGGTGTGAGACAGGGAGATTGTCTGTCCCCCTTATTATTTAATATTGCATTAAAGCCTTTGGCTCATCCACACATAAAGGGAATTTCAGCTGGTACATCTGAACGTCTTGTTACACTTTACGTGGATGATTTACTTGTTACCTTAATAAATCCTGAAGTGGGTACCCCTTATCTTTTAAAATATGTAGAACTATTCAGTAAGATCTCGGGCTACACAATAAATTGGGACAAAAGTGAACTTGTGCTTATTGGAGAGAATACAATTCTACATGATTGTCCTTTCAAGATTGCTCATGATCACATCACATATTTGGGCATTAAAATATCAAAAAACCCTAAGCGTTTGTTCAAATTAAATCTGTTAGCAGGTCTTGATAGGCTAAAACGCAGCATAGAATACTGGAGGACCTTACCTCTATCTATGATTGGCAGAGTTAATGCCATTAAAACAGACTTTCCAAAAAAACATTTATTCAGGTC